AGATGAATCAGAGTAGGCTAATAAACTGCCAGTGTTCCTTGTTAAATTCTTTCAACTTATGCACAAGTTTTTCACTGCTACTGTTACCATACTGGCAAGGGAGACTAAAGCTTTTTGCTACAAAGAGGTTGTCAGTTATACTATGGCCATACTGTGAGAGTTTTAGCATGACAACTACTGTTACGTGCTTAACTTCTGCAACTGTGTTGTCAAAATATTTTTTTATACTTTAAACTCTGTCTATCAAGACTGCTGAAAGGAGCAGTCTTGCCTTGCTGTTTCAGATGTGGACTAGATAACTTTTTCTTTCAGGTTCTCTATGCTGAACTAAATGGTGCAAGACTCATTTAACAGAAATTCACATGAGAAGAGATTCTTTAACGTACTCCTTTCTGCTGTTTTATTTCATGAATGCTATAAATGAAATTGATTCAAATTTTGGTTTTGTTTGCATACACTCATACTTTTTTGAAGTTTGGCCTCTGTAGCAATAGTAATGTGATCATAAATTAATACATGTTTGCTTATATACTAATATTCTGCTATATACTAATATTCTGCTGAGTGCATTATTGTAGATATATCATAGAATCATAGAATAGTTTGGGTTGGAAGGAACCTCTAAAGGTCATCTAGTCCAGCCCCCTGCTGTGGGCAGGGACATCTTCAACTAGATCAGGTTGCTCAGAGCCCCGTCCAACCTGACCTTGAATGTTTCCAGGGATGGGGCATCCACCACCTCTCTGGGCAACCTGGGCCAGTGCTTCACTGCCCTCAGCATAAAAAATTTCTTCCTTCTATCTAGTCTAAATCTACCCCCTTTTAGTTTAAGGCCATTCCCCCTTGTCCTGTTGCAACAGGCCCTGCTAAAAAGTTTGCCACCGTCTTTTCTATAAGCCCCCTTTAAGTACTGACAGGCTGCAGTAAGGCCTTCCCAAAGCCTTCTCTTCTCCAGGCTGAACAATCCCAACTCTCTCAGCCTTTCTTCACAGGAGAGGTGTTCCAGCCCCCTGATCATTTTCGTGGCCCTCTTCTGGACCCGCTCCAACAAGTCTGTGTCTTTCTCGTGCTGAGGACTCCAGAGCTGGACGCAGTGCTGCAGGGGGGGTCTCACCAGAGCAGAGCAGAGGGGCAGAATCCCCTCCCTCGACCTGCTGGCCACGCTTCTGTTGATGCAGCCCAGGATACGATTGGCCTTCTGGGCTGCGAGCGCACATTGCTGGCTCATGTCCAGCTTTTCATCCACCAGTACCCCCAAGTCCTTCTCGGCAGGGCTGCTCTCCATCCCTTCATCCCCCAGCCTGTATTGATACCGGGGGTTGCCCTTACCCAGGTGCAGGACCTTGCACTTGGCCTTGTTAAAGCTCATGAGGTTCACACAGGCCCACTTCTCCAGCTTGTCCAGGTCCCTCTGGATGGCATCCCATCCCTCTGGCGTGTCAAGCACACCACTCAGCTTGGTGTCATCTGCAAACTTGCTGAGGGTGCACTCGATCCCACTGTCTGTGTCATTGATGAAGATATTAAACAGTACCGGTCCCAATACGGACCCCTGTGCCCTTGATAATTTTCTTTGGGATCAGTATAGTAGTGAAATAGTCCTCAGTGACTTGGGTTAGTAGTAGTTTATTTAACAGAAGTTAAATATATTTTGCTTTCTGCTGAATAGATCATCTTTCCTTTTTTTTTTTTTCCTTAATGAACAAAGCTCTTTGGTGAATTGACTCTAACATTAAAGACTAATGCAGTGTGTCTGGTCACCTTTAAATGAAATGTCTATTACCCCTAGGACCAATAACTCCTTATTTTTAAAAAAGTTCAGTTAAATGAGGATGATATTACAGCATTTAGTATGATACAAACAGATAACTATTTGCATGATGTTAACAAACATTACGTCTGCAACTGTAGGGTTACTGCCTTGTCATCCTTACTGAGGGTTGTTCACTGCCAATATTTTTTCCTTCCTTTCCCCAACTGCCCCCCTGCCCCCAACTTCTGGCTTGATGTCCTACACAAGTGATTAGTGTGCTGTAATTGAATTGGCTGTAAAAAGATAATTAATTGATATTTCACTCCCAGAGAGGTCAAGCTGCCCTATCTTGAATGGTTGTTATGAAAGTAGTCATCCTGCTGGCACTTATCCCTCGAAGGTGGCATGTGGTCTTTGTCTTGCTGATAGTAATAGTTGTTGTAATTAAAATTAACATGAAGGGGGTGTTTAAGGAGTGATTCTCTGATTTGGATGCTTTAGCTTCACTTTAAAAGCATGTGAAACTGGAATTTATAAACCTTATTAGGTAGTTGTCTGGGTAGTATGTTTTTAATGCCCAGCACAATACTATCTCATTTGCTGTCTAAACCTTCTTTGTGCCATATTACCAGTAATGTGGGACAACAGAAGTATGACTATAGATGTGTAAGGTTTCTGAGACAACTAATGTGAAATCCTGTCAGGCACCCTGAAACCATTGATCTTAAAACACCTTGCTTTGAACAGCTTCTTATTTTGACATTAGTTCAGCTAAAGATTGGCATGAAGAATTTTTTTCATAAATGGATTATCTAAATGGAGGACTTCCACTGATGTTTAAGAGGCTCCTAAATAAACAAGGGAGCAAAATTCTACAAGTGACTCTCTTGGAAAAGGTGGGAAGACTTTATAAATAAAGGTGGGCATTGGGTTCACTGTCTCCTATGAAAGATGTATTTAATTATTTGCTTTGTATACTTACAACTGTATTAGAGAAGGATTAGGTGATGCAGTAAGTCTTCTGTCGGCCTAACAGCCTATGACACTTAATCTTTTTAAAGACTGTTCGCAACTGTAGACTTAATGACAATTAAATAATTCTGCCATTCCTAGTAAGCCAGGTATGTAGCGTTACTTCCCTGTGCATCAGTGTAGGGCGACTTGCTCGAGGTCATACAATGAACCAGGGTCTGAATTCAAGAGTTCTTTGTTTCTAGTGCTTCCTCAGATCACATGACTGTAGTGACTGTAGTCTTTGCTTGTTACTGTAAGTATCTTGACATTCACTGTGCAAATAAATACATTACGGGCAAACCTCTTGAAGGCTTGTGTCAAACAGGAAAATGTTTGCACTAGAAATGTTTATCTCTTCTTTCTTCCCTAAAGGGCCACTGATGTTCCTTCTCTGCACTGTTAAAGCAGAAATGTTGAGTGGGGTCCCTTTTTTTTTTAACTTGATTTCCCATCCCTGATGACAGTTATACTAGCCTCGTGACTATAGTGCACTGCTAAAAGTATCTTCTCAGTGTTAGACACTTCCTTCGAACCTGTGTGGCACAAGAGCTATCAATTAATAATAATAATAATAATAAAGGTTAAATTTAGTGACAGGAACCTTTCTGAAACTGTTAGTGCATTAAGAACCTGGAGTTATTCTGTAAGCAGTGTGGTTCTCATTCATTGCCCAGAGAATAAATACTGCTACTACAGCAAAAGCTAATGGAGAGAAGGATGTTATTTAATGTCCTTGCAGAGGCAAAGACTTAACTTTTATCTTGCCATATAATGATAAAGTTATGGCACTGTGGAGATAACTGCAGCATTCGCAGCTAGAAATTTCTTACTTTAAGGTATTCTAGCTAGGATAAGGTATTACAGTTAGAATATTATCTTTCTTTCACACTTCACCCCACAGAATTTGAGACACACTGCTATTTTTAGGTTTTGTCCTGAATTATTCAACAACAGCTTTCCAACACAAAATATTCCTGCCAGGATGGGAAATTACCTACCAAAGCATTCTCCTGTCTTCTGGTTTGTATTATGAAATGCTTCTTCAAGTTTCCGCTCATTTAACAACGTGACCAAAACAGCCTTTTTGCAGGTTTTGCAGGGAACAGAAGTTATTTGGACATGAGGAAAAATGTCTTTACTGAAAGAGTGGTTAAACATTGGAACAGGCTGCCCAGGGAAGTGGTTGAGTCCCCATCCCTGGAAGTATTTAAGAGACGTGTAGATGAGGCGCTTAGGGACATGGTTTAGTGGGCATGGTGGTGTTGGGTTGACGGCTGGACTCGATGATCTTAGAGGTCTCTTCCAACCTTAATGATTCTATGAGTCTGTCTAATTGTGAAATTTGAGTTCCTTTGGGGTGGGCTGGTATAAAATTATCATGAGTAATTGCAGTATTATGTAATTGTTCGCTATGTTGGTTGTGACAACAACCATACAAGAGGGCATCAATTCTGTTACACCTGAATGAAAAGAGGAAAAAAACCCCTATTTTGTGTAATGCTGTTAACATAATTTCTCAGGCTTTGCAGTACTTCTTACAGTGGGATCCTGAAGAATATTTCAGAAAAAGAAAAGTAAAAGCTATTAAACTTCTGTCTATGCCAACCTTAATGTAAAATACTGTATTTGCATGGATACAGTACACTAAAATGAAGAAAACAATGGTGTAGGCATTTAAAAATTCCACGAAATAGTCCAGAAAATAACTTGGTCTACTAACTGGAGGCTTGAAACTGTATTGGGAAAATACTAGGGAAAAGCCTAGGTACTATTGTTTGAACTGAGAAAGTGAGATCTACCCATTCTTAAAGTTCAGGTGTAGATAAGATAACTATTTACTTCACTCCCAGTAAGATTTCAGTTCTAAAAAGGAAGAGCAGGTAAGAATTTCAGATCAGACAACTTGATACAACTTCTGGTTTCAAATTCTTTTGACTGTTGTTGTGCATTCTGGCTTTTCTTTTTCATGATTTGGCTTGAGTTACTGTAGGGGATGCTAATAGTTTAGTGACCAGGATCCAATTTTGTTTGCAGAAATAAATCATAGGAAATCACGAAAGAATCTTAATAGATGTAAATCAAAATCCACCATATTCAAGTGCTGATGATTTTGCATTTGTTCTTAACTTATGAATGCAAAGGAAAACACTAGCACATCATAAATTACACCATTTTTGGCACTTTCCTTAAGCACTACAGAAATACTTTTTTTTTCTTTTTTCTGTAGAAAGGAGGCAAAAAGCCAAGTGGCAGGATATCTGCTGAGAAAGCTGAGAAGATGACAGTCTCACAGGAGAAAATGGAAGACAGCAGGTATGTGTGAATCAGTATTCCTACTGCTCAGCTGGAGAATGCTGTCTGCTGAAAGCAGTTTTTATCTCTTTGCAATACACCACTTCTAAATGGTGTTACTCTCTTGGATAAATGGCCCTGTCTTTTTTTTTTAGCTGACCACTGTAATATAATATTGCCCTTCACATTTTATGCCAATATATCTTTTACTTCCTTATAACCCAGGCTTGTGCTTGTAAAAACAATGTTTCTCAGTCCTTCATTTTGGAGAGTGTTTGGTGTTGGGTTTTTTGGGTGTTTGGGGATTTTTTTAACCGCTTTTCTTGTTTTATTAGAGCTTTTTTCCCCTCCTTCAAATGAAGTAGGCGTGGGAGGTTTCACTACACCTTTAAAATTGTCATCAGATCTACTACCTGGGCTTTCAGCTAAGTTTTGCAGTCTGCTCTAATTTCTGTGTTGCTGTGATTACACTGAGTAATTATATCTAACCTTGCTGGTTTGTTTAAATGAACCTCCATAATTGCATTACATATGATGTAGATAGTTAAAAAGAAAAGAATTACATAGAGAAGAAAAACTTTTCCTCTGCTTACTAGGTTACTCAAGTTTTGCAAGGGTGATTTGAACAACTGTGGCAACATAAAAATTATAGTTTATTTAAGCGCAGAAAATCCCTGCTCTATGAAAAAAAAAAAAAAAACAAACACAAAAGACACTAGTTTGAGTTTTCTGAAAGTCTAGAATGGAATTAGGTGAAGAAAGTAGTATATTATAACCCTTTGTGGTGTTAATGTATCAGAAGTAAATGCCAGCTGTAGATTTTTCAGTGCATGATTGGCATGCTTTCTGTGCTTTTACTGTTTGAAAACAACAACACTGGCATTGCATTTTTCTGCTTGATAGGAAAGAATTATCTTGCACTGTTTCATAATTACAGGCTCAGGAAGGTATAAATATTTTATTTTGCATACACTCTATAGTTTCGTATTATGTTCCATGTTGAGATTCATAGACTCAATATTTAATTAAAATGGAAATATCAAAATTCTCTTTGAATGTGTATCTTCAGTTGTGGATGGACAAATGGCAAACTCCTTCATGCAGGAACCAGGAAGAATTATCATTATCATAAAAAGGAATTAGGATGTAATCCAAAATCCTACCTGAAGTTGCATCCTTATCGGTTAAAAAGAGAAAAGTTATTTCTAACTTCCATCAGTGCAATTACATACAAATTGCAGATTGCCTAGATATTGTTCTACATTTACCTATCGGAATTCAAATTAGCTGTTGAAACATTTGTGATTTGCTTCATTAAAACTTTTGTGACATTTTTCAGGTAGCTTCCTATTTCAACCCCCCAACAGTACTGACTTTGTTTTGGGGGGGCTTGGGGGTTTTTTGGTTTTTTTGTTTTTTTGTTTTTTTTAAATCGGGACATTCTGTGTAAACTAATGATTTTTAATGCTGCAAATAGAAGTTACAAATCCATTTCCAACTCTGCAACTCAGAAACTTAACTGCAGTCTGTAAAATCTTAACTGGAGTACGCTTTCCTTGCCCAATGTCAAGGTATAGGTGGACTTTTAAATCCTCTTACCCTGTTATAGGGGAGAATAAGGCGTCTGCAGAAGCCCAACTTGGGAAAAGTGTTAGGTCTCCTTTATCATACTAGAACACTTAACAGCTAAATGAACCATCATTACTTTTATCTGCTTTAGATATTCATCACAAACTTTCAAATCCCATTCCTTTAGTTCCAATTGGAAAAAGAGAAGATGCTCGTTTTGTAATTTTGCTGATGCAAAGGTGTGGCAGGCAGGCAACTAAAGTAAAGGTAAGAGGCTTTTTAAAAAGTCAAGGTAGCTTTGAATAGCCCGGAAAGCAAGAGAACTTGTAAATGTTGGGATACAGGTTTACAGAAACCCTAGCTTTCAACAAAGAGAATATGGCATCTACTGCTTTCTTACATTGAGGTGATCTATCCTGATACAACTGATTTCTGGAGTCACGCCAAAGCTAAATGTGGTTCAGCCTGTGTAAGTTCCTTTGTATGTGTGTTAAAAAGAAGAGAACAGTAGAAATGTTTTGAGAAAATAATGCTGTTCAAAAAAAGAAAAAGTAATAGGTTTCTTTCATGGTACTGTTTAGATGTGAATTAAAAGGGTTTTTTTAGCTTTTCAATAACTTTATGGCTTTTCAGTTGTTTTCTGAGGGAATGCATATGCAAGTAGACTTCCTAGTCCTACTTTTTATGTTCAGTATTCTCATATATTTTTGCTAGGTGACTATCTGGAAGAATAAACTGTCATTTCAAGTACAGTAAATAAACCTTCCTTTTTATAAGTACCATATGAGAACATAGTAAATAAAAACTCGGGTTTCTCATAACCATTTAATCGATATGCAACTCTGAAAGCAATACTGAATCTTTTCCATGATCCAGCCACAGATGTGCTTGCACTAAGGCTGTGGTATGAGATGACAGTAAATGAAATTGCAGCTACAGCAGCAAGTATTAGGGGGAAATGAAAATTCCTGACTCAGAGGAGCAGGGCAATGACAGAAAGACTCCTCATTATAGATCTTTTCATATGGAGAAGAATGACTGGTAAATGAGGTTTCTGTGACACAAAGAGGATGGAAATACAGTTGGACGTTCATGCAGAAATTGTGCTCACTGTACAAAACAGATAGAAGAATAGGGGATATCTAATTTGCATTTCTTAAGTGACAAAATGAGTCTGGAGATATCCTCTGAGACGGATGACAGTTGCAACAGTTAAGAGAAAGGTATTGTTTAACTTTCCCGTTATTTGGGTTGTGATGAAAGTGACTTTTACTATAGCCTGCTTATTGGTAACTTTTCCATGTTTGCTTTAATTTATTTACTGTACAATAGGTTACAGGCTTTTTAAAATACTGACTTGAGCAAATCTGCCATGGTGACTAATTCTCCACATTTTTCACTAGTTCAGCTAATAGCAAAGCATAAAATAATTATAATGGGACTTGCTGGTAGGAGCAGGCATGGTGATTCCAGTGTCTAATCAGGTTGGTCCCATTGATTTGCAATAGCTTCTCTGTAGCAGACAAGGTATTTTTTCGTCTTTGACCAATATGAGAAGTCATGTTTATGTCGAAATAGACAGGACAATGTGCACTGGCTAATAATAGAAATCCCTAACTATTTCAAGTACTTTCAAAAATGCTTCATTTACCACGTCCAGCAACTGTCTCCCTCATTTTTGCAGTGTGACCAGGGAATTTAGTGTAGACTGTTGCATTTTTTTGTTTTGTTGTGGTTTTCCTTAAATGGCTTTGCTTGGCTGCATTCCAGCCCCTTAGTCTGAACCTATTTTGCTTTATCCTATTAAGTGGCCTAGAGAGTTGCAAATTCCCAAATTTCTGGATCTAGAATAGCTGAAGGTGCCTTCACATAGGATGCCATCTCTCTTCTGTGGTCTGTCTTTGGGCATAAGATACCTTAATATTTTTTTAAAAATACTTGAAGAACTAAAAAAGAGGGAGAAGGCTGTCTTTCCGTCAAGCTTAGTTGGACTTTTATACTATGATGTGAAGGGTGTGTACTTGTGTGCTGAGAAGGGGATTTACCTTTTCAGGTACTTGAGAGGTACTTGAAATGCTTGACTCTGTCTTAAATGTTTTACACAATCAAAGATCAGGAATAACCTATATAATCAATGTATGTAGAAGAAAGACAGTGCTGAAGTTTCAGACAGGTCACTTAATGTACTTGCAGCTGTCTCGCACATCGATCTTCACCACTGTCTAGTAATTCCTTCAAACCTACAGTAAGTCATACATTGAGTCATTAATTAGCTTCACCTAGAAGTCAGTCTCTGCCTACAGTGGCAGCCACTCCATTATTATCTGGTGTATTTCAAACAATAGAAATGATTGAAACAGGAACTCCTACATTTCTATGAAGATGAAGAGTGGCACATCACCCTGTAATTTAGGTAGTTGTGCAAGTTTTCATTTGCATTAGCAGAATAGTGCAGATTGTGTTGAATTATTCCATAAAAATATCTTCAGGTTATGAAAGCTTCACTGTGCCATATGTATGTTGTTTATTTTGGAGTGTTCTGGTTTGGTGGTGATGGATTTTGTGGTTGTTTTAAAGGTATGTGTCTTCAAGTGAAGATGAAACTAAGATTCATTAATTCTCTAGAAGCCCAGAGAGTGGCACATTTGAGTGGTTGCTGGTTTTGAGCCTTGAGAGCCATCTTAAAACTCTGAATTACATTTATAGAATAGCTGAATTTAATTTTAAATCTATCAGTCAATTCAATTTCCTTTATTAGTAAAATGAACTTCTTTCATATGTGACACTGACATTGCAAGCAGAGATTTGTTGTCACATATTTTTGTTTTCTTCAGTTATGTGGTAAGTAGGGTCAAGTTTGTGTTATAATTAATTCAAACTAATTGAAATTTGTATTTACGTGAAATCTGGATGAAGGTGGCTGATGTAGCTTTACATGTATTTTTCTGTGACTTGAATGACTTTGAATGGTTTAGAGGGATAGTACTTAATCATGCCAAAAGTGTAATTGGACGTTACATAGTCATGACTTAAGATTCTTTTCATCTTATTTTTGTCCCTTTAGCTTCTCCATCCATATTCTGAGCACTATTTTTAATCAGTTGGGTATGCTTTAAAGCAACACATTGTATGTTCACAGGAGGATGTCCATTTTCAGTGTCACTGCAGAGATCTTTTTTTATCAGGATTGTTGGTCAGAATACTGACCACAGAAAAAGAGGCAACAGTAATTGCAGAAACTTATTCAGTACTAAAAGTTGATTCAGTTATTTTAGAAGAACTGGAACTTACTTGGCACTTAATTCTGCAACTCTAACTCACATCAGTGCTGCACATTTGAATTCAGGATTTTGAAGGAAAGTAATGTTTACAGAATTGGACGTTTGTTTATAATAGTGACAGGGCTATGCCAACTTCTTTTTTTCCCTGTTAAGACATATTTAATTTTAGTT